ATTCTACTAGTAGGGCGGAAGTGGTGTAGTGGCAAGTGGCACGCTTACCACGCGAGCGGTCCGGGGATCAAATCCTGGGTCGTGAGTCGCCCGGGCCAACCAAGCCTTCCATCCCTCCGGGGTCGGTTAATTGGTACCAGACTTGTCTGGGAGGATAAAAACACTGACTTGTACATCGGCTGGCCCCGCAAGTCATTGTATAGGCCACATTCAAACGCCACTACGAATGTACAAATGGAAGTAGAATGCGTGCCGCATCCCAAAAAGGGATTGATCAACGGCAAATGCTTTATCCTTTATCCTTTATTCTGCTTCCAGATAAGAGATAAGCATCTCCCAGAGAATTCCAGGTATACTCGATATCTCGAAGCATGCTCTGCTGATATCCAATGGAGTACGTTGGAAACATCCCTATCCCCACGGCTTTTATCAAGTGCGGCAAAGGCCACGTCAAATCCATAGCCACGCCTAATCTGACTTCGAGATTTCGACTATACGTAGTATGCCATTTACCGACCCCGAGAGAATGTAAGGCTTGGTTTGTCCGTGTAATTCAAAAGCTAGGATTAGTCCCTGGTCTATATATTGTAATCGAAGCACACTTGAAACTTCAGGCGATCTCTATTTTAACAAATCAGTGTGAGAAAAAACTTTATTTATAAAGACATGATCACAGTAGAGTTCACCTACGCTTTGGTAATTTATATCTACAACAGAACCGACCACCGAATGATAAGCATCAGATTTTGAATCCAATAAATGGGCTTTCACAGGCAGAAAACGACCAGCTATCAAAGGAGCAAGTTCCATGAAGGAAAATTTTTGAATAGAATAAAGCCGTCCATGAATCAAAAAATACGGTATCGCTCTATCCACAGCGATACTCGTACTTACACTATGTACAATCAGTACTATGTTTTTCAGCAGTTTAGAATCCGTGAATTTTTTCAACACTCTGCCAGAGATGATCAACATCAGACACTCGGCGACCCTGAAAATGGCTCAGATATTGGGCGACTGATTATAACCTGTTGATAAAAGCTTGCTAATCTTAGGGTAAAATAGAACACTTGGCTGACCTGTTGATGTTGAGGGTCAGCAGCCACTGTAGGGGGTAATTCAGGCTGAAAGTAAATTTCATCACCAACTGTTTCTATGAATCTCCTATTGCTACCCTTACCTCCTTGTAGGGCTCAAGAGGATGAGCTACTACATGCAGAGTTTGAACGAACGCATCCTAAAAATGTGTCATTAGGTCCAATTCAACTTGCTGCTCTCTTCGCATAGTCCCTTAAACCCAACCCAGAACTCGTAGTGCTGCGAAAGAGAAATCGCCTGGCAATCTTCGCCGATAACACCGTGGCGGCTTTTCCAAAGGAGACGTTGTTTTGGCCGCCGCCACGGTGCTCAATCGATGAAAAACAATTGCTCGTGGTGGCCTTGGCGCAACCAGGCTGTTAACTCTGCGCTGACACGAAACACGCCTTGTAGCAAATGTGAAAGGTTACTGTAAAAACGTACGGAGGTCCTGCGGATCGCTCCTAATAGTCCACCAGCAACACCGGCGGGTGAAGTCGTAGAAGAAGAAGTATTATTGGTATCCTGAAGAAGAGCTTCAGCTTGAACTAATTCTTCTTCCAACATCTAGTTGCTATTGCCCATACGGGGAACACAAAAACTAAAATACTACACTACGTCTACAGGAATTCGGAACTTACACTCATGATTGTAGGAATAGCAAAGCAATGCGACAGCGCTCACCAGGCCGTCCGAGGGGCTTTATATAGCTCGCACTAGAGCACGTAAACATGTTGTGGTGCTCGGGTATGAGAATCACATGTGCATGCGTCGACGGCTGCATTGACTCGTGAGCGGAGGGTCTTTCCAGACTACAAAGTTTATGCTAGACGCAGCGTTCGCGAGACATGCTCGTGGGCTCCCTTATTGCAGGCCATGTCACGGGTCTAAGCCGTTCCCTACGAACTTCCCCGTCTTCGCGAACTTTGAATGTGATTATATCACGAGAATACCCAACCCGAAGCAGATATCGAAGTCCAGGAATAGGCGTCGAACATGGAACTGCAGCCATTGAACTTTACCTAGTATACAGGGTGGGGCAAAATTACTGGTGCACTAAATTTTCAATGGCATTTTGACAATAATTCTCACAAATCAATTCTAATTATCAATATTATTTACTACAAACATGACAATACAAAAAATGTTAATGCTTCTCAAAATGATCTCCTTTAGCCTTCACACAGTCCTTCAGACGTTCGACAAATGCTTCGCATGTGGCACGCAGGTACTGGTCATCGATTTCGTCCCAAGATTTTGAAAGCGCCGCCTTAAGAGAGTCCAAGTTTGGATGTCTGGTAGAACACGCTTTGCTCTCCAAGATGGACCATTTAC